AGGGCCCAGGATGAAGTCACTCGTGATGTCACACTTGCAGACCCTGGCCCGATGGGGGATCCTTGCCCTCCTAGGGGGAACCGAGGCTGTCTACCGAGCACGACGCAAGGACGAGGAAAACGGAAGATGGTGACTGGAGATAGATAGAGAGAGACTGGGAACCCGCATTCGGGGATGGCAGGGTCATTCCCCCATCGCCTTCCCCCCCTCATTCCCCTCATTCCCTTGACTCCGGCATAAAAGCCGGGCGTGTCTCCCCTCTCCGCACAGTCGATCGGGCAACCGGGAATCGATACCAGATCGCACTCGACGAGTCGAAATGTCAGGAGTCTTCGCATTCTTCCTCGCCGTTTCCGTGAGTGTCTCCTATTTCTGGGGTCGATCCTACGCATCTCCTTAACGATCGCTGGGTCATGGGAGTCATTTATTTCGTGCGATGAGGGTGTCACTCGGGCACTTGATTGAGGAAAAATACGGCAATTGTTGGTTTTTAGAATAGACCTGTAACTACCGTTAGCTTTCTTTAACAGGGATTGCGAGATACTTCTTGAAAGAATAATTTACATTCTATATAAAGAGACAATCAACAGGGTAACTCAATGTTTATCACGGTAAAATGTCAGCAGGTAATTTGGCTAGCTCTATGTCCCGTCTCCTGGCACCCCCCCCCCCCCCCCCCCCTTCATTTTCATGCAAACATAGAAAACCCGGTTCCGAAACGAAACTTGCGACCCCTCTCGTTATTTAAATTCCCAGGACAAAGAGCCGACAGGGGGAATTGCCGGTTGGGAGATTGCGTGAAAACATGAAGGATTTCCGGGTGAAAAAAATTTAGGGCCAGCGTTCAAGTCCAATCGGAATCCAAGACGAGCAACTCCGAGAATCTCTTTTCGTGTAATTTTTCTTAACGTTAACAAAGGAAGAACCGAGTTGACTTTTAACACGATGATGAGAAATTCTGTCTTATCTTAATCCGAACGATGAGATGCGTCCGAGATTTGTCGCTGCATGCCCAGATTAGCAGGAATATCGGTTCATTTTCTTTTTTTACGCACTGGAGCGCGAAAAATTTTCGATCAAAATCGGGTTGTGCGTGCGGTTGCTTTTTTTCCCTCAAAAATGATGCCGTGACGTGTTGGTGTCACTTTCGTGGACCCTTTAGATGGGCGGAATGGCGTGTGTCGTGGTCGAGGGACGCTTCGCGCATTTCTCGGGCAAGAACACCATCTCCACGCAGGCGGGTCTCACGCAGGCGGCTTTCAACGCCACCCAGGATTGCGTCAGCGTATGTCTCTCTCGTTTTTCTTTCTTCCCTTTCACGCGAAAGAGCAGAATGGGAAAATGAAGGGACTTGGACCCGAAATGTATCAAATGTTGGCTCGAATGGTGGATCCTGCATTTTCTAACGGTCCTTTACGAATTACGGACTCGTCTGAAGGGAAAAAAAACTGTTCGGCCTAAAAGCACGTTTACTTTTTTTTCCCTCTGCGTTTACCTTCTCTCTTCTCTTAGGATTCGTGTTGGTTCCATGGATCGGTTTCACTCCGTTAACCGATAATTACCTCAATTAGTAAAGCTTCATTGAAACCTCAAGTAGCAATCGAATTCAGCATATTTCCTATTCTGCTACGTCTCACAACCCATGAAACCCTAATTACGTGCCCGATACGTCAGGAACCATAAATTACTGTGATTTCGCCTATGGCTCAGAGAGACACATAACGAAAAGCTATGGTTTCTGACTTCACCCTGTACACCGCTGGAAAGGTTCCCGAGACCGACTGATCGAATTCCGCTCACTCCTCCGTTCATTTCCCTTAAATCCTTTCAATCCAACCGTAATTTGGCTCATGTTTCTCCTATTCTTTGCAGTCTCATGAAAGTCCCCATTTGATTATCAAAAGTCATTATTCAAGGTAGCATATGGCTTCTGGAATGGATGAAGCGTCAGTTTCTTAAACATCATCCTACCCTTAAGCCTTTTTTGGCATTGCAAAATTGGAAATCTTCCCCGACGAATTCATTGAACCGACTAGTCTCTGTCGATACTGAACGGTCGATCGGCTCACTCAGGAAGGTTTTCCCTCTCTGACCGCAGAACATAGAAGTCCCTGCTTCTGACTCGGCGGAGAACATCCTCACCTACCTGAAGGCCTTCACGAAATGCTACAAAGTGATTGCGGACGTGGATCAACGATACAACTGGTGCTTCCAATACCTCAAAGTCGGTTTTTTTTCCTCCTCCATCTGCTGGTCCTCTTACTCTCGGCCTTTTCTTTGAAACGCGTGCCGTATTTGTGCCACAGGAAGCCGGAAACGTACCGCAGGGGGCTACAGAGGAAGAGGCGAAACAAGTCATTAGCAAGGGCATGCAAAACTTTGGCCTATGCCTCGTCAAATTCACTGCTCAGTGATCGATCGACCACCGGGCTTGCACTTGGACCCAGCCGTGAATAAACGGGGAAATGAAAACTCGAGCACGTTTCCATTCATTCTCGTCCCCAATCTTTAGTGAGGAACGTTCGCATGTCGTTCGCGCTTTCGGAGAATTCCACGTTTCGCTCACGATTAAGATGACGAAGCTTAGAAAATGTCCAAGGACCTGGTCGACTTATGACACTTTTAATTACTCATTATCACGCAGTCGGAATCGAACTAAAGGGTCACCCGCTTCAAGATCGCTGCAGAGAAAGAGAAGAAAGCCTTTTGCATCCAGGAACTTTTCGGCCTATCTGGTACTGCCTGACCTGACGCGCGAGGCCTGCAAGCCTATGCCTATCTAAGCCCTAGGTTACGGAGAAGAACACATGGATGCGAATGGCTTCAAGGAGTGTTTGGGTCTCCCAGCTTCCCTCGAGAATTTCTCGGGCGTGAACAACATGCGTCCGAGGCAACACGGCCACCTTGGCTCAACGTTCGGCCCATGTTGGAATCAGAGTAAAGAGTAGTACGTAGAGGCGACGCTCCGCTCGAATCCCATTCATCGACAGGGTCACAACATGATGTCTCTGTCGATCCTCCACCTAGCACATAAACATAAACAATTCCTCCATGGGCGACCAGCGGACTCGACGAGACACGCGTGTTACGTTGAGAGATCCCTTCCGGTCGAATACCCGAACGAGTCGATTCCCGATTCCGCAGTTACGAAACGCGCCTCATGGAAGTGTTGCTCATTAACAAGCCATTCAAATGCCTCTGTAATATTTTGACCCCCACCCCTCGGATCGTCGCCTCTAGTTATACTCTCCCTACTGTACGGTTGGAATGCCACATATGCGATGTGGGCCCCACTTCGGAAACCAACTGTGGCCAGTCGTAACCCTTGTCCCACGGCCCCACTTTGGGCCAACGTTGGAAACCCACATTAGACTGAAAATAAACGTCGACGCCTGACCTTCAGACACTTAGATAAAACCAGGAGAAAGCTTGATTCGTAAACGATCGAGTCCTTTCCGGGAACCTCACCGTGGAATCTCTCGGTCCGGCTGGGGAATACTCAAGCGTGTACCACCTTCCTCGACTGCCTCCGCCATCAAGCATACACTTTCACCACGAGATTAGTATTGCATGAATCCTCCATCCACCGTACGCCTCATTGTTTTCCCGCACCGAAGGTGCAAGATGAGATCCTTTGAGTGATGTTCACGACACCCGAACCCACATTCCCCAAAGGAGAGTGAAACGAAGCCCGCGTGATCCTCGTCTCCCCTCCACAACTACTAGAAGTCTCTTAAAAAGCTTTAACCCTTTCGGCGTCATCCCGAGTATGTACTCGTGATGCGGATGTCCATTTACCCGCGTCACCCCGAGTACGTACTCGGGGCGATTTTGGTTTCAATGCTTGTGGAACGGTGCTAGCAGGAAGAAAGGGCATGGCAAAGGACCTAAAGAAAAAAAAAACCGAAACAAGGTGACGTAATCACAAGATGGTGTGGTTCACTGATGGCTCTCAAATGGAAAGAGAAGAGGGATGTATACAAGTTGAGCAATTTTCATGATGCCACTTTTGTTGAAACTGGGAAAGAGAGCAGAACAAACGAGAAAATAATAATAAAAAACCACGTAGTGCTGGAGTGTAACATGAATATGGGTGGGGTTGATATGTCGGCTCAGATGGGGGATACTTATCTAAGTACCAGGAAGGCAATGAAGTGGTACCACAAGTGCTTGAATACACATACATATAAGATGATAGTATCAACGACTCCAATGAGCAAAGGGCATTATCTGATTTCCGCTCGTAGCTCATCCGAGAGATGTTTGAAAAGTACTAGGGGAAGGTAATCCTCTTGCTCAGCACTCGTATAGCAACACGAAAGAGAAAAAGAGAACTTACATTGTCTCAGATTCATAATCTTACGCATATTCTACGAACTGCAAAGAAAAAAAGCCAAGCAGACGCTGCAGGGCGTGCCCAACAAGAAGAGAGACATGCAATGAGTGTGTGATGTGTGGAAACATTCCCTTTCATTATGATGATTTTTTTCCGAAATTGGCACTCGTTACAAATCTACGTGAAGAAGCTAAATGAAAGTTTATTAGTGCATAAAATGAAATAAAAAGTATTTCATGAAAGTTTGGTAGGTTTATCTTCAACAGCTTTAACAACGATAGCATTATCGGCGAATGTTTAATAAAAGTTGGAGACCGTGGGGAGCGCACATCCATTTCGGAGGGACGCCGAAAGCGTTTAACGAATGCTTGAAGGCGTTCGTGTTCTTTCTCAACGTCGCCGATAAGATGAAGCGCTGCATGATGCGTACCTCTCTCGGCGGGAACAGGAAGTGACTCGGCGTATCGGTGGCGTGGGTGTTATCTCGTTCCGGTCGTGTGAACAAGTTTGTTTGCTTAAATATTTGTAGGATGACTCGCCTTCGGCCGTTGGATTTTCCTGCAAAAGTCTCTATTTCACAATAATACTATTGCCAATGAAAAATACATTTAGTTTGGAAAAACCTGTGCATTCACGAGACATAAGAGACAAACAAAAGTTTCCACGGCTTAATGCTAACCATCATTGAATCAATGTTGGACTAAGAAATTGTGTCAAATATAAAATTAAAAGAGATGATTCGACAATAGACAGCCAGGAACACTGAGAGACATGCGTTTCGAGAGGTCGCGCGTGTACCCTTTAACAAACCCTGATAAACACAGAGACAATTCTTTCACAGCAAGACATGACACACGAGATATTTGTACTGCTAGTGGAACCACCGAATCAACAAGGTGTATGGAAAATCACTGTGTAATTTAGTTACTTTCCTGTCTCCTATTTGGTTTGATTGTTACTTAAATAAAGAATATCAGAGTTGCAATTAGGGTTTTCTGTGATGTGAAGAAAAATGTATGGTCAGAGACGAAAATTATTGGAATTCCTTGAGATGAGCATCCACAGGAAAGTCAATGCCGTTTCAGCATCTTCTTGTAGCGTTTGATGAATTTGAGCTCAGGATAAAAAAAGCCGGGCGCCATATTGAATGGGGAGAAATGTCATGATTTTGAAATGAGATATTTCCCAAAGAGTTTCTTCGAGTTCTTACATGGAGTAATTCTGATGTCTTCAATAGTTGAAAATTTATTTCTAAGCGAAACAGTGATCCGTCGTACACCTCGAATGCCGGTTTAAGGCGGAAGTATACGTCAACATCCACACAACCATTCGACACCGAGTCGAGATCGAAACAACGTCACGTGCCACCTGGCACCAAGATTCACCGATGTCACGAGATGAAGACCTCAAGATCTGTGCTTGAAAAGCGTAACCGCCACCTCCCCCAAATAGAAGACGATGAGGCAGCGACCCAATCGCCGCCCGCCGCAAGCGTACGCGTCCGGCCCGACGATGCAGTTCCACGCGCCCCCGTGCTCCTCCTTCATTCCCTCCGCGATCCGCTGCGCCGCGTCGAGGTGGTCCCGGTACCGGGCGAAGACTCGCCTCGCGAGGGCGAGGGCGTGGATCTCCATCGATCCCGTCATCTCCGAGGACTTCACCACAGGCTCCGATACCGTCTGGAATTCCACGGCGATTGCAATTAAAGCGGGCAGAAAGAGTTTAGCTTTCACATTGTTTTAATATATCTTCATCCGTAGGCTTGGGTTTAGGTAGCGCCTATTACCTTTCTTCAACCCCTTCCCGCAGGAAAATTGAACCTCCTCGTATTCCTCTCTAAGAGCATGAACAGGAATGAAATTAGCCATACTTCTTCCTCTCTCACTACAGAATCGCTCCAGCAAATTTGAAGCTCCATTTCTCCGGGGTTGTAGAGAACACTGAATTTCGTTTTTGGAGGATGTGAATTTCATTCCGTATTTTTTATTAGTTTTTTTTCCTCTCTACCCCCCCCCCCCCCTTTTGGGGGGTTTTCGGAGGAAAGAGACCAACCATAAAGTGGCTTTTTTGTTGTTTGCTATGCTCCATTTCACCATAAAAAATGAATATTCGCTCAATTAGGCTAGCGCCGGTACCGTCTCCCAGTGTTGCCGGATACCGTGCCAAAATTACCTAAGATTCAAGACTGTTTCATCCTTCGCTTTAGCGTATGGATCTTTTTTTTTTTATGAGATATTTTTGCGCTGAGTTCATGAGTTGAGCTGAGAATAAAGTGGCGGTTAGCAGTTATTGATCGATGTGGTGGGATATGCAGATATCTGATCCGGACATCCCTCAATTAACAGGATGGCAAGTACCATAAGTTCCATGATTCATGTAAGCATTATCTCACCGGACCTATTCGAGATGGTTGGAGGAACTCCAGATAGGCCTAACGTTCCACGTCCTCTCTGAAATGGCTCGTGAACGTATGAATAGACCTGCGATTGGCCTAATGTTACACGTCCTTAACCAGATGTCTCGGAACCACTATTCATCCTGATCAGCCTAATTGGCGCCGAGAAAGAAGAAAGGGGAAGCCATCGAAAATTGATTTTCACATTACTTCATGAAGTAATAATACCAGTGTCTCGTCATGCTTTTTCTGTAGCTGCATTTTACATCAGGTCTATATTTGAATGCCAAATGCCGTTGGGAAAACCGTTGCTCAAACTATTGGGGGGAAATACAGCCATTCGCATTAGATAAAGCAAAACTTGCGCGGGATCTGACGATGCGACATTCTCCCAGCCTGTCGGTTCGGATTCAACCATTGTTTTCTCGATCGCCAGAGAGTGAACACTCGGAATTCGATGCACAGGTCTTCGAAGCAGAGAAATTCCTCGCTAAAGATACCTTAAAGAATCCTGGAGAAGCGTACCGCTAGAGAGGGTCCGACCCCGTCACGTAACGATTGGACTCACGTGCATGAATTGGAAGACCGAAGCGGAACGGGAGGCCTCTGCGCTCCTCGAGAACGCCATCTCGAGCATCACGTTTTTCCCGCGGTGACTCCGAGTGGAGAGCGAGTCGGCGAGAACGGAATACATCTTTATCGCGTTCTCCGTTTATCTTGCCATCCGATAAGGTGGAATTATTCGCCCCTGCGTCAGCCACTTGCTTGAAATTGCGTGGCAACGGTCTTCATGTCTAAGGTTTCAATCCTTTCGCGAAACTGTGAGTCAAAACCCGAGGTTCTAACGTAACTCATCCGTGCGTCCTCTCTCTACGCGACGCAAAAAAGTGGCTCCTCCGATTACGAGGGACGAAAATCCGCGACGAGAAACTACGTGTAGATAGTTCTTTCTAAAGAATATACGAGAAGGCATTCTACAAGAGGCTCTGCAGGCCGCGACGAACGAGATGAATAAGAGTCGCCGGCAAATATGCGGATAGAGGCTTGTCGAGGCGTCGTTCCATCAAATGCTCCATTGTGCCAAGCCTACAGGTCCTGTTACACTTGGCGAGTACTCGCTAGCAAACACTTGCATTTACTCGCTTCAAACTGCCAGCCATGTATTTCACGAATGGGGGATTTGCTTCTTTGAGCACCTGTGCACAATATCGATAATATGAAATAAGCAAAGATCATGGCTGCCCGCCGAAAGTTGAAGTTCTCATCAGTCACCGAAGCCCACAAGGCTCAGTCATTGTTCCGAAAGATTCCTGACATGATTCATATACAGGATGGCCCAAAAGTAGGTATACAGTATAGTTTATTTGCATTTTATTACATTTACATTTGTTTAACACTGTTTAACCTCGTAAGTGCTGGAAATGTCTTCCATCAACGTTGCAACATTCCTCGAACCTGTCCAGAACACTGACACACGGGAAAATAAAATAAAAATTAAAAAAACTAAACAACTGTATACCTACTTTTGGGCCACCCTCTATACCCTGTGGAGGGATGCAGTCAAAATTGGTCTCCATATTTTCACTACTTCCCACGTTTGAAGACAGCTGATGACAGCAGTGACCTGAACCTAATTCCAAATTTCAAAATGCCAAAAACATCCGAATACTTGAAAATTGAAAAGTTACTTCGAAATCAATTTCAGTAAGCATGAGGAGTGTTTTCATGTTGCATGGAAGTTTGTTTAGTTAGGGTGTCTAAGTAACACTATTTCACAGTGGTATATCTCACCTGTGCTGGGACCTATAAGCACATATGCCTTAGTAAAAATGAAATGTAAAATTAAAATAATTGGGTCCTTCCCATCACTTC